TTATCTATTGAAAAAAAAAAAAAACCCACCTAACTCATTTCATCCAATCATCATTTTATTATTGCATGATTGGTTGTTTGGTAAAAGGCTAAAAGATTCATAAGTGACTTAAAACCTTCAGACACATACTGTCTTTTAAACAGTGACGCAGATATTAGACCAACACAAACTGCTAAATCAAAACTAACTAAAAATCAGTAACTATTGATTTTATCTAAGAGCATATGGTTTATGAAACATCTAGAATCACAAAATAAATAATGGTTCATAAATGTAATATATTAATACTCTCAGTTTCTATTAATTAAACAATTAAAAACAAGCAGCTTTGTCAAGAAATATGAGGAGTGGCTTTCAAATATTGCGTTGGACAATGGGGGCCTTTGAGTCAAAAAGGCTGAGAACCACTGCATTATGAAATTGTTCACTTAGATGGTAAAATTATGTTGATTGTGGCATTTGCTTGCCTCCTTCCTCAGGTACCAACCACCACTCACAGATCTCCAAAGGAACCAGAGATTCTGGATGATATGAAGCAGAGGAACAGACAGAAAGCTTTTGTAAGCCCAATCAGAGAGATGCTGGGAAGCAAACTGCTTTTAGTTTTGTCGCAGTTATTACATTCATTTCCATTCAGACCTTACCTCATGATGTTTTTTACTTTCACCATTAGCAAATCCTGAATGAAGCAAACTCTCTGCAGTTCAGATGTGCAAATCCGCAGAAGTCTGAGAAAACACAAGTTAGTGTCTTATAGCACAGCTGAATTGAGCTAATGTTTTTTCTTCAATGCCTTAGCATCACAGAATTCAAAAGCTATAAATGTTTATATTTCCTGATAAACAGAATGTGCTATCCCAAATTCTTCAAAGCCATGATGCTGAACTCCAATTTGACAAGCTTTATACTTCTGGAAGCCCTGCCACCCAAAAGGTAATTTGGACTAGATAAAGCATGCATTGATAAAAGTTTCTTGGCACATACACCATGTGCTTTTGAACATATTTTCTTCTACTGAGGATCTTTGTGCTGTTAAAAAGTGTGTGAACGTGTCTGTTTATGACGTCACAGATAAACAGCTTACCTGTCAGACTGAACACAACAGCCATACTGCGAGAGGGAGCTTTATATAATCGTCAACTGGAAGAAGAGTTACAAAGGTAGAGTCACACTCTTCAATGGGAATCAGATTTTGTTATTTTTCTCTGTGCAATTACTCAAATGAATTCCAAATTATTTAGACTAATTATCTCAAATTATTCATCGTTATTCCAACGCACTGAGAAGCAACTAATAGCATATTAAAGAAATAACCCAAAAAACTACAAATCTGTCATCATTTACTCACATTTACAAAACTTATTTTTTCCATGAAACACAAAAGGAGACATTAAAGGGGTCATATGATGCTGCTAAAAAGAACATTATTTTGTGTATTTGGTGTAATGAAATGTGTTTATGCGGTTTAAAGTTAAAAAAACACATTATTTTCCACATACTGTACATTATTGTTTCTCCTCTATGCCCCGCCTTTTTGAAACGCGTCGATTTTTACAAAGCTCATCGATCTGAAAAAGCGAGGTGTGCTCTGATTGGCCAGCCATCCGGCAACAATACTACAGCGAGAATAAAAGTTATGCTTTCTTTCTTTGCGTGAACATTTGGGCGGCTTTATGCAAATCTTCCCACATAGTGAGGTAGGTATGTGGGGGCGTGTTCGAACGAGCCGTTTTAGGTAGGTGTGGCTAACTCTTAACTTTTATAAAGAATATCTCTTTGGATTTGAGACTTTAGTCTTTGCAACTTTACAGATCTTCTTTATGCACCAAGAGCTTGTAACACTCTAAAGAGAAAGGAAAAAATGAAATCGCATCATATGACCCCTTTAAAAAAAGGCAAGAAACACCATAAACTGTCTAGTATATAGTTAATATTTTGCACTATTTCTATGCGACTAATCAAATAAATATATGGCATTGGCTCATTTGTACAATAGGAGCTTCTTTGCTGGTACAGATCCTCTCAGATCAGTACAACTTTGTTTGGGTAAGGGAACAAAAATCTAATCTTATAGTGGTAATCTAAGGTGTACCACAAGGCTCAAAGATAGGTCCTTTGCCCTTTTAAAGATCAGATTTTGCAAAATTAGAAATCAGAAAAAAATCTCAAATATGTCTCATATATACATATATTTAAATATGGCACATGGAAACATCACACTAGGACACCTGGTCTGACATCAATATTGCAATAGGCCATTGTTTCTTGAGTTGTGTGGACTGCATTTATGGTTCTTCTAGGGTTACTTAGAAATTCATTAGATAAATGTGAGATACAATTTTGGGGTGAGCTAACCCTTTAAGGTCAATCATAAAAGTCATAGAGTGTTTTCCACAACATTCATGCCACAGTGTAGGAAAAATCCTTGTGTGTTCTAATGTATATGTATTTGGGTGTGCAGATTAGAGCGATTATCGCAGGGTGCAAGCGAGCCGTCTGCGTTCCTGCAGTGGCAAAAGGAGATGAAGGAGAAGGATCTGCAGGAAGAACTAGCTGAGCTGGAGCGCCGAAGACTGGAGGGACGGATTAGCCATGAGGAGGCAGTTCTTGCACGAGAACGTGTCTTGGAGCATAACCACCATAAAGCTCAGCAGACTAAAGAGGAGGTGATGTCGGTGATGTCATAACAAACATCAGTGTTTACAGCAATACATGACTCAGTCTGTATTGTTTATGATGATTAAATGTGTGATTCAGACTGCTGAGCTCATGCGCAAGTATGCAGAGAAACGTCTGAAGGAGGAGAAGGAAATGAGAGAGCTTGTGCAACAAGTGGCCGATGGTCACAAGAATTCCAAAGCCGCCAAAGATAAGATGCAAGAAATTAAACAGCGAATAGGTACAAAAAGTGTTATACGTATAGCATAACATTTTCGCAAAGCATTAAATGACAATAAATACACACTACGTTGTTTCGAAACAGTTAAGGAGGTCTCAGAGCACAGCAGGGAACTCCTCAGTCAGGCTCTGGAGGAAGCCCAGGCTGAGCTTAGCAGGAAGATGGAGCTTATCCGTCAGATTCGTGCTTTTGAGTCAGTACCTCTGGTCAGACAGAAGTTTGTGGATGACACAGAGGTTAGTTAATTATCTTCTTAAATTTACCAAAAAATGTATTATATACACTACAAGTCAGTGATTTTGATGCAATGGACACAATTTATGTTTCATGATCTTTAAAAACTCAAGAGTGCAGGTCACGATTTGCTGTGTGAGATGTCTCTGGCGGAGCTGCGGGAGCGTTTGGCACGCCTGAGAGAGTCAGAGCAGTGTGAGCTGGAGGACAGAAGACAGCGAATCTTTCAGGAGAAACAGCTCAAAGAGCAGCTACTGCTAGAACAGCTGGACAATATCGCTCTACGCAAAAGTCTAGCAGAACAGGCCGCTTTGCGCAGGTAACATACTGGCCCTACCACACCTGTTCCTGCATCAAGATAAAGTTGGGTCCGAAAGAAAAAGTGTATATTGACAATATTTGTTTTTTCTATTTAAAAAAGACACAAGACAGATGATTACACTATGACTTTTTTTGGGTAAAGGAACAGACATCTGATCTTACAGTGGTAAAGTATGGTATGGCACAAGGCTCTGTATTGGGTCATTTACCCTTTTAAAGATCTGGTTCTGAATTTCACGTTAATTCTTCAATCTAACTTTTCACCTATTATTATGCTGCTATACAATGAAAAAAATTTAATTAAATTAGAAAAATGCAAAAGTATTTTCACTTGTGATTTTAGAGTTAAATATGTGGTAAAAAAAAAAAAGGGCTGACTGATTTCTGTTTTGTTTCACAGTCAAGAAGAGAAAAGGATGAGAAATGAACTGCGGGAGGCTGTCAGTAGAGATGAGAGAGTGCTGACCCTACAGAAGACCCTGGAGCAGAAACAACAGGAAAGACAAAAGAGAAAGACCGAAAAAAGCAGTATGAAGAAAAATGAGCAGGTGCTTCCACTCACAGTGAAGACCACCCTCAACAAAAAGGTGAGAATAGACTAGAACACACTCCATGTGTCACAAATTTTGCTTAACACTTCAGATGTTTAATATTGTGTTATATTTTGCCATTAAATGATACAAGCAGCAGGTTCTTGAGGAACAGCATTGGCAGGAGTTGGAGCGCAATTTGGCACAACAGATTTACGGGACCTTGCAGCCATCATCTAAAAAAAATGGTGCTGGTCAGAATCACAGGCAAGTTTACTGATAAATGTAAATTTATACTTTTCTTGAACGAGTAGAAGAAACTGATATTGTACAATGTCTAGGAATTATATAAAAATAAAAAGTAATGATACTTGGTATAAAAGCATGTTATCTATATTTTAAGTTGCTTTTTAGGTCATCGAACACAGGCCTGGTTGATGTTACCCAAATAATTTGGGAAGAAAAGCAGATTTACTGTTGAGAGAACGGTGTTTTTGCTGTGGAAATTAAACTGAATGATTGCACGAGTTTTTTTTCCATACTGAAATATTTCTAATCAAAACACTACAGTAACAAAAGGCCTGCTCTGGACATCAGAATAAACCAGTTTAGTACAACTTTTTAATGTTGTTCCATTTCATTTTAGCAAAATTACTACAAATATCTCTTCTTATATTAATGCCCAAAGAAAAATTGTTGATAAAGAGTGAATTACTCTAAAACAACTGAAATAGAACTGTTCCAAACAACAGAAACCATGTATTGCACAAGAAGTACCATAAAAACATGAATTATCAAAAAAAGAATCTACAACAGCATTTAGTGGAATGCATTGTGTGCGCTACTTAAACATTCAGAAGTGTACATAAATGAAACAATGATAATAAACAAATCATAAATTCACCTAACAAGACATTTTCATACACACTGTAACCTACGTACAGTGTTTCATAGTGCTCAGACCTTGTATAAAAAATGAACTAATTTAACTACTTGATCCAGTACAACAGTATGAAGATTAAACCCTTAGTGTCTAACATGAAAAATAAAAAAAGTTGAAATGTTATTTACCTGTTTAGAGGTTTTAACTGTATAAAATCTAAAAAAACAAAACAAAACAAAAAACACACAAAAACAATTATCCAGTTCCTGATGCATGTTCTTTCACCTACTCATATTTTAAGAAAAACTAGAAAACATGCACCTGTTTTCACACTACAGACATTATCGGCCAAAAGTGCTTGGTTGTAGTGGTTACATCATGAGTAGTTATTACAGACAACTAGCTTTATAGGACATGATATTCAAGTGACTTTAACAGTAAATAAAGATTGGAATGAACTGGGTCATCATTAAGTCATGAAAATTGAAAACTGTTATTTTAAAAACAAGTAAAATAGTAAGACTTTACAAAAAGTAGCAAATTTTGTCTGATTCTGGGTGTTTGTTCAAGCTAGAACAAACAAGGTAGGCCATTCATACATTCACTCCCAGCATTCTCGTCCACATTCTCTTGGCCCCTTGATATGATTAATGAAAGGACAAGAGGGAGTTTATCTTCTTATGAATCCAAGGACATTTCATCTTTCCATAACAGATCATTAATCAAAGAGATGTCTCGCGCCTCATTAATTCACCAGGCTTTTGGGTTCATCTTCTCTCTGAATGACATCCTCAGTTTGTTCCTGGGGGCCGGCACAGGTGGCTGAGGGGCCTGACTGTATTCTTTCCCAGGATTTTCAGGTATATCTGACTCGTCATCTCTTTTCTGAGGAACACAAGGGTGCTGACAGGGCTCGATCTGTCCAAGGGGTGCATTTTTGCGAGTGGATGTGTGGCTCTTCTGCAACTGCTGAATGATGGCAGAGAATTTAGCATCGAGCGAGGGTCGCCCCGTCCGAGGCCTCGCTGCCTTACGGTTCTCTTTCTCCTGATTGGAAAATAAGCTGGTAGGTTGAACAAACGGTAATTTATCAGGAGGGGGTGGAGGTGCTCTCCTCTTCTTTTTGCTGGCCGTGACGGGACTCGTAATAGACTGATTGCTTTCTTTACCTGGTGACAGAACCGTTTTTTGTACCACCATTGGCCGGGATCCTTCAAACAGTGCTGCCCAATGAGGAGGCTCTGTGTCCTTCTCCTGACCAATGAGAAAGCGCCCATCAGTTTGCTCAATCTTATTATGAATTATGTCAGTCAAGCTCTCAAATTTCCCAGGGGACCCGATGCCTGAAAATAATATATTTTTAAACAAGCAATTAACAGAAATAACAGGAAGTTGGACTATAACTCCTCCCAATTCAATAAAATCAATGATAAATCTATCCTACATCACTCACTCAGATCATTATAAACGGAGTCAGCTTGCTTGGTGAGAAAGAGCGGGGGTTTGCGTGGTGACAAAACCTCAATTTCCATAAGCTTGTCACATGTGCGTTGCCAGTGACCTAAAGAATAAGTTCATATTAATTGTTTAGACATACAGTTTAGTAGCAAAAAAAGATGTCAGGTGAACTTACTCTGGTCATAAATGTGCTGCCAGAGGGCGTTCAGCCACTCCTGCAAAACATCAGGGGTTTCAGTAATGAACACATGACTGGCAGAGTCTTCGTTTCCCGGGTTTATCAGGTTGAGTCTAGTGCCAGTACTCTGGTGGTCCTTTCCTACCACACGAATACGGGTGTCCTGCATGAACACACACACACAAACTCTGTACTACATATTTTATAATGGTTCTCCCATTTAATGAATCATGTAGCAATGTATCGCAAGTGGTAAAGCTTTGTCTGTTGCTATTATTGCCATGACCTTTAAGGCCCGTTCACACCAAGGACGATAAATATAAAGATAAAGATAAAAATAAAAATCGTTCTCAATATTAAAGAATAGCAGAGTTCACACCACATCTGGTGAGGACGCTAATATAGTTATCTTTATAGTTACCGTTCTTGGTGTGAACTGGGCTTTAATGTTGACTGCAATTAAATTACCGTGTTAACTATAAACTTTAAGATTAGAAAGGCTGCATTGCCACAATAGCAGTCTAAAGTAATGGCCATATAGCAGATTATATACGAGTTGTTGGCTGATATTAGATTTTTTTAGTTAAATCAGGCCACATTGCATAGGTAACTGTGCTTGCTCATTTTCCCTATTTTTACATTTAGATTACTTTTGTTGTGATTGAAGGCTTATTTTACAAAAGTTTAATAACACTGGAAGATCTTTAGCAAATCTAAAAGTTTAATGTCCATTTTTCATATATTACAGTGGCGTGATGCCAAAATTCACTTTTAGTATCTAAAACAATTTACTTTAAAGGGGTCATCGGATGCCTATTTTCCACAAGTTGATATGATTCTTTAGGGTCTTAATGAAAAGTCTGTAACATAGTTTGGTTAAAATTTCTCAATGGTAGTGTAAAAAACACCTTTTTTACCCTGTCAAAAACAGCTCTTTTCAAAGCAAGCCGTTTTGTAGCATTTTCCTTTAAATGTTAACGAGCTCTGCTGACCCCGCCCCTCTCTTCCGAGCTGCTCTCACAGACTGTTTACTTTAGCTGTATTCATCGTGAAACTTGCTAATTAGCACATTATTAGGAAAGGCGATTTGCAAAGATTCATTATAAAACATTATACTCACTACTTCTGTAGGTGAAGCTGGATCACGAATGATTCGCGCGAACATAGATGCATTTAGGTAGACCGGGGGCGCATTCCCCCAAAACAAACGTAATCCACTGTCTTCAGCGGCTCAGATGTCGGGAGTAAATGACTACTGCTATGTTCATTATTACATCCAACAACAGAACACCTCAATCGCTTATGAGTCATTCTTGTCTACATCTGCTCCAGCGGTGAAACAATGGCGGACTGACGACAGCTCACTCAGGGCGGGTCTAAGGTAAGACACCAGTCCAGTCTGTGCTGAAACGCTACTGTCAATCAAACTATCGTGGGAGGGGCCTGTCTGTAGTGACGTCACACAGACAGGCATCTGAGATCGGCTCGATTTGAGAAAGGGGAAAACATTTAACCAGATGAAAAAAAAACACTGGGTGGATTTTTATCATTATAGGGTGGTTGTGTACACACACTGCCAACACACATTTCAGTTCAAACAACTTGTAAAAGAAGCAATAATAAAAGGACACATTTAATTTATAATTTGTCTTAAATCTCATTTTGTAAAAAAATAATAACCGTGAACCGAATCGTGAAATCAAAATCGTGAATCGAATCGTGAGTTGAGTGAATCGTTACATCCCTGTATTTTAGTATTATTTATTATATCTTATAGTGTTTATTAAAGCTGCAGTCCGTAAGTTTTGCCTCTGTTGCCATCTCTGTTTGAAAACCTGGAATTGCAGCTGTGTGGAATTATCTTCCTTGCTTGGGTTGTGAGTTGAGGAAAAAAGCATTACAATAAATCTCGCTACCAATGGTGATTAAGTGTAACGATCGGTTAGCTCGTATCACATCAAACCGTGCAAATTATTATTGTTATACTTTATTCTCAAATTGTTAATGTTAACAACATCAGCATTACGTGACTCTAGTTTTGAACACTGGCTGGTTATGTACTTGCTCAAATATTGATTTCGGATCATTTTTAACCAAAAAAAAGTTACGGACTGCAGCTTTAACATTTTGAATTAGCTTTCATATTTTGTTTTTATTTTAGTAATTGTTTCATGTGCTTTTACCATTAATTTATTTTAAATTTCTATAAAGCTTCAATTTATTTTTATTTTAGTTTTAGTCATTTTAGCACTTCAAATTATTTTATTTCCGTTAGGTGCCAAGGCAATATTTCGAATTACTCTCAAAAGTTTTTTTTTTTTAATCTACTATTTGGTTTATTTCAAATAATTACGTTTTTTTTTTTTAAATAGTTTTACTTAACAATAACAACACTGGTTCAAAACAAACATCTTGTTCTTTTTTAAATAAGTACACTAATGAATCATGCACGTGACCTGGATTTTTTCACAAACAAAGGCTTTATTTTGATTTTAAATTCAAATACAATAGCACACTTGATCTTAGACAAGAAAAACACATTGTGAAATAATAAAAAAAAAAAAGCCATTTTAAAAATGTTTCTTACCTTATTTATGGGAATAATGAGGCTGGGCTCCACTTTTGCTTGGATTTCTTCAGGTGAATAATAGCATGAAATCTGTTTGGCCTTCAGCACACAGTAAAGCTTACAGCGGCGCTGCAAACCCTCAATGCTTTGCTAAGTGGAAAATCAAAACGCTGATCTTACAAATTTTATTTTATTTAGAAATGTTAGTTTGAATTGTTGTGGCATATATTCTTCCTAGAAAACCACAAGTTCCTGTCTTACCTGTTGGCTCAGGTATCCGCTCATCATGTCTTGTGTCATGCAGTCAGGTTGTGCCACCAGCTTACAGCACAAGTTACCATACAACGGCAGCCATGACGAAGCCTCCACTGACAGACCAATGGCAGAAAGTCAATCAGAACCACTGTGCAAGTCAACTATTAAAATGCGGCTTGTTTGCTCTTACCATTTTGCAGGATTATAAGGGAATGAGACTGGAAAGATCCCTCTGCCTGCTCCAAACCCAGTGTGGTGTACGCCAACAATGAGTATCGAGCACCTCTGTCACAAAAATAGAAACAGATATTACAGACATTTTACTAATATTACTAATCTAACAAAAAAATGTTTATAGGTAATGAACATAATATCCATCCTCGCATACAGTGGTATTGGGTTGGACTGGAGGAAAGTGTCTGGATCTCCTCCATCCAGAAGAGGGCAGAGTTTCCTGCCTGAGGATCTGCCAAAAGAGGAGCGCAGCTTCCTGGCCAGTTTTTTTGGAGTGTTGACAAAGGTTGTCTCCTCCTCCAGTCCACAGCTATACAGCTCAAATGTCAGTTCAAAGTCGGGCTTCGCTTCAGAGCTGTTGAAAATATTGAAACTGAGCTCAGAACTCAGAGGCTATTCAACAGTCAGGCTATAGTTCTCAAATCACTATAGATTTGCAGAGAGAAATAGGGAAAGCTGAGAACTTACAAAATTTTGACACCTTCAAAGCAAATATCAGTCATTGAGGGATCTGCAATCACCATTTCAGTGTCAAAAATCTCTGAGCCAATCTTCATCAAACAGAAAACTGCCACCCGCTGCACATCTGTTGGGTTCAGATACACATGACAACAGCATAAACGGCTATATGAACATATTTGCATATATTTTTAATACCATTTAAAATACCTGGTTTCCATTTTAATACATAAACGCTTAATTTTTGCAGTCTTCATTGTCACACATTGCTTCAGAAATCATTTTAATATGCTAATTCGGTGCTCAAGAAACATTTCTCATCAATTTTGAAAACAGCTGCTTAGTATTTTTGAGGAAACGGTGATAATTTTTTTTTTCAAGATTCTTTGATGAATAGAGCAGCATTTAATAAAAAAAATAGAAAGTGTTTGTGACATGATAAAATGTCTTTACTGTCATTTTTGATCAATAAAATGCCCTGTTATTTTGATAAAGTTATTAACTTCTTAAAACTTTTAAATGGTAGTGTGCAAGCAAAACCATACATTTATTACAATTAAAATCAAATAATAAAAATTAATAAAATCAAAACAGGCACCATTTGTCCATAACATTAGCAAGGACAGGATATTTTTATAATAATTACAATATATACTTACTCCCTTTGCTGTTAAAATGTTCTGTATCTTTCCAAAACAATGGAACTCGTAGGCCTGGATAAGCAAAAGAAAATTACATGAACCAAAGACAAACTGATATATTAAAGGGGTCATATGATTAAAAATCGATGCGTTTCAGAAAGGCGGGGCATAGAGGAGAAACAATAATGTACAGTGTGTGGAAAATAATGTGGTTTTTTTAACCTTAAACCGCATAAACATTTCATTACACCAAATACTGTTCTTTTTATCAGCATCATATGACCCCTTTAATACATATAACAGACACGGTTATAAAAAAAGAAAAGTTGTTAACTTACCAGATATGGCTACCTTTCCCTTACAAGGGATTTGGTCCAGAGAGTCTGAGGACCTAAAATAAAAGAAACAAGAATTTTAATGACCATTTATTTCTTATGTGCATGTCTGATAATAATTTACATTAAAAATAAAACAACTTTCCACTAAATACTCTCAGCAAAACAGAACAGCTGGCAATACACCTGCTGCTCTAACCTTTTGATGTCCTGCTGCTCCTTCCTCCTCTGGGCTTCACTCATGTAGGCTTTAATTTGGGCATTACAGGTTAACAGACTCCTGGAAGCATCCAACACCTGCTCTTTTTTAGTGCTGGCAACCAGAAGCTTGTAAGCCCCAGCTCTCATCCGCATCTCAAACTCCAACTTCTCCTGAATATCACAGTCCTATTGAAAGGATGCAATCCATCAGTCAGGAGAAATAAAGTAGCTTTATGCACAAGTGCTCTCAAAACACAGTTCTGGGTATAAAGACTAGAGGAAGAACGTACTGGGAGAGAACAACTCTACCAAACAATCTATTCTACAATAATTCCTAAAGCAGGTGCATACTGATTCATGAAGAGATGAGATATGTGACCCTGGAGCACAAAACCAGTCTTAAGTCACTGGGGTATATTTGTAGCAATAGCCCAAAAAACATTGTATGGGTCAAAATTATCGATTTTTCTTTTATGCCAAAAATCATTAGGATATTAAGTAAAGATCATGTTCCATGAAGATATTTTGTTAATTTCCTACCGTAAATATATCAAAACTTAAATTTTGATTAGTAATATGCATTGCTAAGAGCTTCATTTGGACAACTTTAAAAGTTATTTTCTCAGTATTTTGATTTTTTTTGCACCCTCAGATTCCAGATTTTCAAATAGTTGTATCTCGACCAAATATTGTCCTACCATAACAAACCATACATCAATGGAAAGCTTCTTTATTCAGCTTTCAGATGATGTACAATTGACCCTTATGACTGGTTTTGTGGTCCAGGGTCACATATGGGTATTGGGCACAACTGGTCTGTCTCTAGACACTGAAGAAATGAAAATGATGCAGTAAAGTAACATCAAAACAGATGAAAGAGAAGAGGAGCTCGCCCTCCTCTAAGCTATTATCATATAAAAGGAAAAGAGGGTCTCTGATAACCAACAATGACGCATGGATTGATGAAAGTTAGTGGAAGTAATGGAAGTCTGACTCATTTCTGCGAATAGGTTTTTTTGAACAGTATGTTTCAAAACTTCGATTCAGTGATTATTTTGTCCATAACCATGTGGACCCTGGTGTATTACATTTACATTTAATCATTTAGCAGAAGCATTTTAACCAAAGCGACTTACAAATGAAGACAACAGAAGCCATCAAAACCAACAAAAAAGCAAAAAATATGCAAGTGCTGTGACAAGTCTCGGTTAGTTTGACTGTAACGCAGTACACGAAAAAGAAAACAAGCAGCTAGAAAAGAAAAAGAATAACGTAGAGAACGCAAAGTTAGTGTTAGAGGGTAATTTTTTAACAAATAAAAAGAAAACAAGTAGACGGAATAGAAAACGAATAGAGGACGCTAGTGTTAGAGGGTAATTTTTTAATAAAAAGAAAACAAGCAGTTAGAATAGAATACATCTGGCTCCAGAGGAATCAGACTTTGATCGGATTTTCGTTTAAATGAGTCAGGTGACTTGTTGACGCGAGAACTGTTCGCAGTGATTCGGTCCGAATCGGGATCCGAACGATTCGGCGAATCGGTTCAACAGATTTATTGGGGGGAAAGTTCGATTCACATGAAACGATTCGTTCACGAGAGTGGACGGTGAAGAGGAATCGGACAAAAAAAGACAAAACAACCTAAACACTCACACTTTCTAAAACGCAATGCTAATTTTAGAGCGGTGTGATGATGTTTCAGAATTAAATACGACAAGATTATTTTTATTTGCACCGAATCATGAATTGTTTACCCCATTGAGGCATTTAAATACAGAACACAGAATATCAGTGACACATGAACACACGCTCCCATACACAGACTACCTTTAGTTTCTTAGAAATCTGTCGTATGTACAACAAATGCATGTCTTCTATTATCTGCTGCGTGTCATTCACACTTGTGCATCGCTTCATATGTCTGTCTTTGGCCTGAGAAAGTATTTAATGAGCCGGTTAGTCTTAAACAATAACAAACACATTCCAGACGTGAGAAACCAAAACGTGAACTTCAGCAACACAAACTGACCTCGTTTTGAAAAAACAAGCTTTCTCTTATTTTCTTTCTCTTAATCTCCATAGCGAGAGAGGAACACGACGATACCGTGGACCGAGTGGCAATATTTCGTTTAAAACGTTGAATATCCCGCGGCGGATCCATACTGGCCTCTTCCTCAAGACAAGCCCCTCTCGCACAACAAACCAACGGATTACACAACCGCCAATCCACCAATCAGCTTCTTTCAAAGCTCTCCGTTGCCTACACAACAGTTGGGCGATACCATTTTTAAATTCGAAAGGGTTGGAATAGCGATACAGCTAAGTAGGTTTGCATTTATAAGTTGGATTTATTAATACGTTTTTGTAACATTCAAAATAACCAGTATGTAAAATACATTTTAAGCATGTTTATGCAAATGGTCATGAAGTGGGTTTGCGTTATCACTGTGGTTTTTGTGCTCGTCTCCCCCGTCTGTCTTTAAATAGTTTAAACTGATGGTCTACCGCACTGCATTCTAATGAATCCTCAATGTTCTGACCGAATCTTTTCAGTGAGAGCGAGGCTTCTGTATCTTTTTAGATCGATTGTAATTTAACACATAATGCGATGACATTTTGCACACGAAAACTGCATTCAGCATCATATGAAAAGAAATCAATGTCACCTCTGTCGCTGCTGTCACGCTCATTCTTGACAACGAGGGTTACCACTGGGGTTCGGACAGAAATATCAAGCAACAGATAATCCGAAGGATCAACAGTTTGATTAAAGGTTACAATACACAATCCCACTGGAGCTCGTTCAATAAGGTATGGTTGCATGCTTGGTGTTATAGAAAATGTCAGCTGACTAACGTTACCTGTCTGATTTCAGACTCTGGCCAGGAGATCGCCTGCTTGCACAAGAAGATTTGCATACATTTCTCCATGGCAGTTTTAGAAGGTATAGGAAAATTATGGGTCATTAAAATGTGAGATGACACGATCGTCGGTTGATTTAAGCATATAAGTAAACCATTAAAACAAATGCATTTAATCTCACCACCACCGAGGTGCATGAATTTGATTTGCCAAAGCTTTACATTAACCTGTTTAAGCCGTGGATATGCTGAAGTTAATAGAGAGAACATACTCAAATTCGATTTCGTGGTTATCAGTGGATGGAAATGATCTTGTTTTATTCTGAATGAATATATATATACAGTATCTCACAGAAGTGAGTACACCCCTCACATTTTTGTAAATATTTTATTATATCTTTTCATGTGACAACACTGAAGAAATGACACTTTGCTACAATGTAAAGTAGTGAGTGTACAGCTTGTATAACAGTGTAAATTTGCTGTCCCCTCAAAATAACTCAACACACAGCCATTAATGTCTAAACCGCTGGCCACAAAAGTGAGTACACCCCTAAGTGAAAACGTCCAAATTGGGCCCAATTAGCCATTTTCTCTCCCCGGTGTCATGTGACTCATTAGTGTTACAAGGTCTCAGGTGTGAATGGGGAGCAGGTGTGTTAAATTTGGTGTTATCTCTCTCACTCTCTCATACTGGTCACTGGAAGTTCAACATGGCACCTCATGGCAAAGAACTCTCTGAGGATCTGAAAAAAAGAATTGTTGCTCTACATCAGTGGTTCTCAACCTTTTTTTCCACGGGGCCGCACTATGGTCCAAGTGCAAGTCTCGCGGGCAGCACGCATATCATTTACATATTATGTCAGCAATACAACCCAACCTGATTTATAATATTATAGCCTAAATATTATGATATTTAATCGATTACATTCCTT